CTCTAGGATGTCTAGGATGACTTGATTGTAAATCTGCTTAGCCTCCATGGGCTACGAGGTGAAGGGGTATTCTTTGAAGTACCTGCTACCCTAGAGTTTTGTTCCAAGAGAAATGGTTCTTTTATTTGGCTGTTTTGATTTTTCGTTTGCCCTTTTAGGTAGAAGACATGAATCTTCTCAGCATCTTGATCACAGCCATTGCTTTGTTCTGTTAATTAATTCTAGTACTTGAGGTGCTAGATCTTGACATCTTTGTTATATTTGCTTTTGAATCCTTGTTCTCAGTGTCATTATTGAAATCTCTTTTGTGGGCCTAATTTTTGGAATTCTATTACTTGTTTCATGGTTAACTCTTGTCTCTCAATTTTGATTGCTTGGTTAAATTTGATCTTGATTCTCGGTGGATGCCATTTTGTTGCTGAATTTTTGAGGCATTCTACCTTGCACTCTTATGTTCCAATATTCTTCCAAGCATTCATATTTTCTACTGATTTCATTTTGATCCTATTTTGGAAATTTCACGTCATTTGATGGTCCTAACTTTTAACTTTTGTTAATTGCTAAAATTTGTTTCTTGATTCCAGTTGCTTTGTTAAACATGATCTTACTTATTGGTTACCTTTATTGTGGCCAAATGTATAAGGCATCCATGCACTCGTTCATTCATTCATTCATTCATGATCCATATATCCATTGGATGCTTATTCGTCTTTGATAGAGTTCAAGTTTTGTTGTACTAGTCTGTAAATCCATGCCATTCTTTGCCAACTCGTCTTGTGTTGGGTTCGAAGCGTAACCCCACAATTGTTCTTTTGTGGCTTTGGCAGGATTTATTTTTATTCCTTGTGCTTCTCATATCACCCCAGCCTCTAGTAGCTTGTTTCATGGTAAATCCTATTAAGTGATTAGTGTTCTGCTTTTTAAGATTAGTTGTGGTTTGATATTAGAGTGGCGCAGTGGAAGTGTAATAAGCCGTGTTCTGTTCTTAGAAAGTGATGAGGCAATTGTTTTGTCTCGGATTGGGTGAAGCCATTCACCACTTGAGACGACCCT